CAGAGCTGATACAAACCAGGAATTTAATAAAAGCTTGTTGAAAAGTAAGAATGGAGGGAATTACTTTCTGCCAATGACTCTCAAACCTTAGCATGCATCAGAATCATCTGGAGGGCTTGTTAAAACATAGCTTGCTGGGCTCCATCCCGATATTCCCAGTGCATTTTCTGATTCTGTAGTTTGGGGTGGTGCCTGAAACTTTGCATCTCTAAGCAGGTGATGCTGATGATGGGACCACACATTAAGAACTTCTGCTCCATACAATTTAAAGCCCTTTGAAAGGTGAGGGATAGTTAATTTTAAAGAAGATGGCGAAGTTTTTGGAGGCTTGGTAAATTTCTGGTATCTCTCTTATTTGTAGCTTTCTTAATAAGAACATTTCACAATAATTTAGCTTCTGAAAAAGCTCTCAGGAAACCAGGTGGGCTCTCAGGTAAGCAAAGCACACACCCCGTTATTAGGGATCAAAGGCAGCATCTGGTGGCTTGTTAATGGGTTGCTAGGTAATGGAACAAAGGTGAGGCTAAGATGGGGGATTTGGCAGCTGGAAGGTATGTAGGAGTGAGTCACTGAGACATCCAGATGGTATACTTCTCATCAGGAGACCACTGAAACCAGACATAAGGCAGCCCCATGATCATTGCTTTGATTTGCATGTGGAATGGTGTGCCATCCCTGTGGAGACAAGTTTGTGTTGTACCTTGGCCTTTAATAGGATTGGGGAATATTTTTCTCATAAGTACCACTGAGAACCCATGAGGGACATTTCTTAATGAGTTATAGGTGAGAAATAACTTGGGCTCATAACTACCCACTTTTTAAAAAATAAGCTCTATTAGTTTATTTTTATTATAAAATACATATTCACATTTGAACATTTAAAAAGAACAGAAAAGCATATCCTTCCATGCCGTCTGAAAGAAATCTTATTAAAATTTGGCACCCAACATTTCGGAGAAGAATAAAGTTAACATAAATGGGGTTATTTCATTTATATGTGCTCTACAGCTGTATAAGAAAACACTTAAGTGAACACAGGGGACATTTCTGTACCCATACTTCTGACTCTGCTCTTTTAACAGTCCCATGGGATTCGATGGTGTGGCTGTCCATGTATTTAGCCTTCCTACACGGGCAGTTAGGCTGCTTTCCATTTCTTGCTATCATTGGCAATGCTGCCATGGGCAACTTTATACATAACCTTTGTGCATTTGTGAGGTGGAATGGTGTGGATAAAATGAGAGTTCCTGTGGCCAGGATTCTCACCTGGCCATGGTTGACGAGCTCACTGCATACCTGTGGGCAATACATGGCTGTTGACTCTATAAAAAGAGCTCCACTCAGTGCGCTGGGCACGACACCATGGCAGGGCTGCAAGGCTGTAGGAGAGCAGAGGCCTAGAGGCCCAGAGGATGGCTGTGCAGACAGAGGGGCCCAGAGGCAGAGGCTGGCTTGCTGCATGCAAACTCACTCTGAGTGAATGGGATTCTAGTGACTGATCTGCCATCTCGAAATAAAGTTGGGTATAACTCTTTCACCCCAAGAGCATTTTGCTGTCATTTTCTTTGGTCACATTGAATCCACAGCGAACTTGCCCGGGGCTGAAACCCATTGGCAAGACAAATGGTTAGATCAAAGACAATTTGTATTCGGAGATTACTTACAGATTGCTGTTTTTCTCCAGAAAGGCTGTTTAATTTACATGGTATTTCCACCAATAATGAGTGCTCATTTCCACATACCCTCACCAACACTTGCTATTATCTGTTCTGTAACATTTTTTATAAGCCTTATTTTAGCTTTTCATTTCTTGGGCCAGTTTCTTTGGGCACTCTTCAAGCATTTATTTTTCCTTCTTATTTCCTTCAGACTTGCCCATTCATGTTCTTTGTTCATATTTCCACAGGGTTGTTCATCTATTCTTACTGACTTGTAAAAGCTATTTACATAGAGAAATATTAATACTTTCTCCTTTGTTTGCTTCTCAACATTTTTTTTCACAGTACCACAAGGGTATTTTTGGTTTTTGATTTGTATGCAGTTGAGTCTATTGATGTTTTAGGAAGCTGCATATTTTCCTTTTAAAATAACTATACTATCATTTAAAGAAGTTTCCCTTTTATTTCATGGCCCTTTAAAAGAAGAGGGAAAAGAAAATGAAGCCAGATGCGCACAGACAGGGAGGCCAGACCAGGAGAGCTGGAGTCATTATGGTTGTTAAACTGCTAAGAGGTGGAGTGAATCTCAAATTTAAATTTATATAGGAATCACTTGAACATCTTGTTAAAATGTAGATTCAGTAGGTCCAGGAGGGGCCTGAGATTCTGCATTTCTAACCAGCTCCCAGGTGAGGCTGATGGACCTCGCAGGCCATACCTCACATAGCAAGGCTTTAGATTACAATGGGAAACATTGGTGGTCTCAGGGACAGTTCTCGCCACTTAAATCATCACTTGTTTTGCAAACTTCTCTCTGCCTTTTTAAAATTAAGCAGAGAACATCCTAATTTCTTGTTCTGGAAAGGAGATAGTCACAGCTTATTTTCTTAAAGGAAAGAAAAGTCCACTTTCATTGAGTAACATCCCTCTACCTTATTTAGAATATATGGTTAAAGATGTTTAAAAGCAAATGTGCAAGAATAAAATGTTCACTTCTTAAGACCTTGTTGGGCTTGATAAAATTAAATCATGATTAACTGGTCCTTTTGGGCAGAAATATATCATTTCTGTGTGGCTATCTTCCTTCCCCAGCATTATAAAGGGGTTTCTCTGTATTATTTTTTGAGAAAGAATAGCTACAAACTAAACACATCCCTTAAGATAGTAATCTAATGGGTCATGTAAAAGGCAAGGTAGTCTGGTAGGGAAAAAAGCCTTAGAACATGACTCAGGAGAGCTTGAGTTCCACCCTGGGTTTAACACTGCTATTTTGTGTATATTAAACTTACCTGGGTTAGTTCCTTCAGCTGTAAATGAAAGAATATTAGGGCCTTGCTTGACCGGGATGATAGAATAAAAAATTCCCAGAGGGGTCTCTGGACCATTCAGAGCAGCAGGGATGTCAATGTCCCTCTTACAACCTACAGTATTCTAGCTTGGATTTCCAATTTCCAATCAAGTTTTAACAAAGCTTTCTCTGAACTGCAAAATAAATTGCAGTAAAAGAGGCTCTGGGTAGTTCTGGGTCCTGAAGTCAGGCGATGACTCATGCCTATGTTGTAAGAGCATATGGGCATGCTTTACTATTTGTAGGGAAAGTCACGGGCAAATAAATTTGAAAGGAAAAAGTTAATGTGGACGGTCTCAGCTGGTGCACACAATAAGGTTAGTTTGGGACTGCACTGCTGAGTTGGTATGAAAGAGGGAAACTTGCATTTGAGTGAATTATCTCACTTTTTTGCAACCCTGTGAGATGGGGATTCATCCCAATTTTTATGGGAACTCAGTGTCAGCAGTTGCCCATATTTCACAACTAGAAAGAGCAGAGCTAAGATCTCAAAGCCCTCACCTGCACCACTGGTATCACCAGTCCCATTTCTGAACAAAGCAGAGGTGCCCAAAGGTGAAGCCACATTCCCATCTTTACTAATGACGGCACCTCTCACACGCGTGTGTGAGGATTGGTGCAATGACGCTACCGCACAGAAGTAGCCCACGGTAAATGCTCAATTCCCCCCAGGCTCTCTTAAAATCCTGCAAGTTAGAAGAGGTCTAGTGCCTATTAGTGCTTCAAAATGTCCTCCGGGAACGTGCCACTTCTGGGCTGCATCTCACTTTTCTCGCCCTCTTCACACAGCATGGGAAAGGGGTGGCAGAGGGCAGATCAAGTTCAGAATCCACTGCCTCCCCTGGGCTGCTGTCCTTGGGCCTCAGTTGCCTATCTTTCCTTCACGTGGTCATTGATGAGACTTAATAGATAAGGGCGGGTAGTGCACGGTAGGCGCTCTGGAAGTGGGTGCTAGCTTCCACCCACAATCATTGGCCTCCGTGGCCGCCCTCCACTCCCGCCTGGGGCCTGTTGGCTGGGGCAATGAGCAGAACAGTAATGGCAAACCTGCAGCCAGGGCTTCCTGGGGAGCCAGCATAGAGCGGGGTGCACACCCTGTGCGCTGCCATTACCATTTACATGATCTCAATCATCATGTGCCCCAGGCTCCTCCCGGCCAGCTGCCAACAGCATCAGACTGTGTCACCTTCCAGGCCTCCTCCCACAAAAATGCTGGTCTTTCAGCCTCCAGAGAGCTTAGTTCACCCCATAAACTAGCCTAATGCTTTCCACATGCTGCTACAGCTTGAGCGTCCCGCCCCCGTCCCTGATTCCCCAGGCCCCGCTCTAGGGGACCCTCCCCTCTAGGAGACCCTTCCCCAAGATCAGCGCACCCCACGGCCGGAAGCCGCCAGCGGGGCGGTCTCTGCAGGCCACACATGACCTTGGACGCCCCTACAAAGCCGGCGTCCACGCCTCTCTCCGAGCGGTGGGTCGCACTCAGTGGTGCCTTTTGTTACCAGGACTGAAAACCTGATTGAGCATGTTTCTCATTTGCAATCACAGTCACTTGGCGCGTAATCACGGGAGCACGGAGCCCGCGCTGGTAGCCGGGCGGGCTCGGGGTGCCACGAGGGGCACGCCCACCTGCCTGGGCCGCGCCTCGGCCGCTTGTGCGCCATCCCACCTGCTCGCCAGCACCTCAGTTGTAGGGCGAGGCAGATCCGCCCCCGTCGCCCCAGCCCGGGCAGCCCGCGAAGCGCGTGCCGACCGCCCGGGCCTGCAGTGCCTGCCGCACGTCCCTAGGGGGCGCAGCCGGCGCGGGAAGGCACCCGAGCCGAGCCCGTGCTCCGGTGAGAAATTCCAGGCGGGCGGGCGCGGCGAGTTTGAAAACAGGCGAGGGCGTGGGGGCGGGGCGCGGGGCTCCCGAGCCACCTCCCTTCGGCCAATCAGCGGCTGCGGCGGGCGCGGGCGGGCGGCGCGTGCGGCCGGGCTGTGAATGGGGCGAGGCGGCTGTGGCTGAGGGCGAGCGTCGGCGCGCGGGAGGGCGCACTTTCTCCTCAGCGCCGGGCGGGGACGGCGGCGACAGCGGCGTCTCCTCAGCGCCAGCCAGACCCATCGGGAGACGCGGCGCGGCCGGGCGCGCTCTGGTCGCGGGGCCGCTGAAGGCAGTGTGAGGGAAATTTCCCTGCTGACAACTTCGCCTTCGCCGCGCCCCTCAGCTCCCGCTGTCGCCCCCAGCACCTGGCCGCCCCGCGAGCTTTCGACCGGAGACCACCGCCCGCCCGTCCCGCTTGCGGGGTCCGAGGCCGGGGGCAGGCGGCGGCGGCCCCTCAGTATGGCCCGTGGTGCCCGGCCGGCAGGCGGCGGGGGCGCGGCGCGGCAGGGGCGGCCGCGGGGGTCCCTGTCCGGCCCCGAGCGGCGGCCGCGGCTGCACCGCGGAGCCCGCGCGGCGCCCGAGAGCCCCGGCCAGGACGTGGGGTGGCGCGGCGGGCGGCCGACTCCAAAGTTAGGCGCGGGCCGGCGGCGCGGGTGGTGGGCGCTCCTGACGCTCCAGCTGCACTTGCTCCAGGCGCTGGCTCAAGGTAGGACGGGGGGCGGGCGCGGGCTCCCCCTGAGGGGCGGGGCGGTGGGGCGCGGGCCCCCCTGAGGAGCGGGGTCGGGTGGGGGCGCGGGCCCCCCTGAGGAGCGGGGCGGTGGGGCGCGGGATCCCCTGAGGAGCGGGGCGGTGGGGCGCGGCGGTCTTAGCGGGAAGCGGCCGCCGGAGGAAGGACGGAGGGGCTCGCGCGCCGAGCCTGGGGTGGTGCGTGGCCGCGGGAGGGGACTTGAGCGCCCCGGGGACGCAGCCTGTCCGTCTCTAGCTGGGTTAAGCGGGGCGGTGCGCACCCAGCCGCCGGAGCTGGCCGCTCCGTGGAGCTCAGACGAGGGAGTGGTGGGGCATCGAGCTGGACTCCCCAGCGCCTGGTGCCCGACGCTGGGTCCCGACCCCAGGTGGGGCCGAGCGGGTGACAGCGGAACTTTGGTGCCCACAGCTTTTCTCCTCGGGTTTGTCCCCGCCGCACCCCCTCGGCTTGTGTTCAGGACGTAGTGTGGTCTCCAAAGGGGCGAAGTCCACCCGTAACGCCAAGCGACGAAAGGGAGGTGGAATTTCTGGTGAACCCAGATTTCCCCCTAATCCGGGTGCCTTTACAAACTCAGAACGCAGCGCGGCCAGCTTGCATCCTTTCCATTGAAGTTTGCTTGTCTGCAAAGAATAAGGATGAGAGCAAACAACAAAAAGGCGGAAATAACTATCTCAAAACCTTTTGGTGAGGTCTTTAAAGGTTGGCGTACCTGTGTTGCTCCTGCCGGCGTTAGGAACATAGGCTTTGGTGTTCCTTAGCTGTATGGGGGAATTCTGTCCTCGCAAGATTGACGGTGGGTGGGAGTTCTAAATTTACATCAGCTGCGTTCAGGGTCCAGCGAGGATGATTAGCGTGGAGTAACTAACAAAAAATGATTTCAGTATAACACCATCTTGAAGGTCCGAACTTGAAACCATTATCTGGTAGTTTAGCAGCTAATCATGATTCTCCTGTTAATTCTATACTTTTACCTCAGTTGTGGTCCTCCCTGCCCCCTCCTCAAGGTTTCGTGTTCTGCTACATGAAAACAAATTGCCGTATTTCTGGTTTATTTAACTCCTCCATTACTTAGGAAATTTTTCCTGCTTTTTGCTTAATGACTGACTGATAGAAAAGCATTTTAAGTTATTTTTCTATGGGCTCTGTAGATTTGCAGAGAAACCAGGTTCAAATGAAGAAATCTAAACCACTTAAGGATGACCTTTAAAGTAGGAATGGTGTTTTCCTTTTTTAAAAACAGTGACTTGCAGTTTGCAGTAAGCCCTTGTACATTTGTACACTTGAAGATTTGTGCACAAGTTCAAATGGAGAAATTACTGGTGGCTTTGTTTTGAGGTATGTTACACGAATTTCAGGTTATCATTTACACTTGGAAGGCTGTATAACCTGTCACGTTTTACAATTGCAATGTTGAAAACTTAACAAAAAACAGGCACACTTGTTAGGAATATTTCATTCATTGTCGCCAGTATAAACGTTGGTACCTTGTTTACATTTATAAGGTTTATGAAAGTGTACACAGGTCTTTTAGTGTAAAACTTCAAGTAGGTTGTCACAAATTTAAAATTCATTGACAGTTTTCTGTTCTTTGTGCTCTGTGAAATGTGTAATATATCCATTTTTTTATATCGTGCTGAAAGTTCATATTACAGGGGAGATGTTACCATTTGACAAAAGCTCATGTATCTTGAAAATGAAAATTCTGGTGCTGCTATACAGATTTCTGCAGTATTACTGTTTTTTTAAGGCATCATTGATATGCACACTTATGAAGGTTTCACATGAAAAACATTGTGGTTACCACATTCACCCTTATCAAGATTTCTGATGGGGAAATGAGTTGGTTATATGCACCTGTATCTCATAAGATGTAACATTCTAAATGGAATACTTACCATTAAGTTGGAATTGTTCTCAAGTATTATTATGTAGCAATTCCTAATTTCTACATGTTCTCTCTTCTAATGGTGTTTCACGTGGTTAGGCTTGTTCCTGTTATCTTGGGAGAAAGTAAGTGCAATATTGACCAGTAAAAGTAACATATAGTTACATAGCCTTACTTACACAATTGGCCATTATGTGAAATATATGTTCAGATCTTCCAAGTTTAACTTTGATACATTCTGGAGTTTCTTCTTTTTGTTAACGAGAGTTTGAGTCATATACGTGTGTGTGCGCGTGCGCGCTAAATCCTGAAGAGTCGTCTTTCATTCTGAAAGGCAGGTGGCAATGTGTGCTTTCTTTGTTCAACAAGGAGCCATACCTGAGTGTTTTAAAAGGATGCCTTTTGAGGCAAAGGATGGGGTTATAAGTATCGTGTGTGAAGTCTGTGGTGCCTTAGCTTTACTGCTGGATCTTTGCTAGGCTCATTGATTCTGATAATGTTCAGTACAGCCTCATATGTTTGTATTCATCAGGCTGAGAAGCTTTTCTCAATTTGGCTTTGGAGTTGTTCAGAGTTCGCAGTTTCTCCTTCGGCGTTATTTCTAGTCATTTAGACCAATGCTTTTTGAACTTGGTGCATATTAGAGGCACCTGGGAAATTTGGTGTACCTGTAAAGGGCCAGTTCCTTTTCTTCAATGAGCCACAGCTTGCTTTCCAGTTGATTCTGAAACACCAGAGTTTGAGAACCACTACCTTAGGTTGTCTTGTTTTTCCTAATTTCAGTCACCTGCTTTCCTGGAACCTTTCTAGCCCTGTGTTTCTTGAACTTGGTTGCATCTTGAAAATCACTGGGAAGCTTTAAACAATGCTGAGGCTTGGGTCTCATTCCCAGAATTTGTGTTAATTAACTTGAGAATTGACCTGGGCATCAGGAGATTTGAAAACTCCTCAGGTGGTTCCCATGTTCAGTCAACTCTGAGAACCATTGCTCTCTTTTAATGAGTTCACATGACTTGATTTCCCTTGTAACCTTTAAGCTGGCCTTGTGGTTCTATTACACCGCTCTCCACATGCCAGTGACTTTTATGCACTTTGGACCCCACTTAAACCTGTTCCATGTTCTTGATCTCAAACTTTGAAATTTCTTCCTGACTTAATCAGCTTTTTAGTCACCCAGTTTATTATTGACATGGTCAAGCTCCTACTTTGTGCTAGTTTGGGGTATATATCAAAATCACCAGTAAAATTAAAAAATACAGTCACCTAGACTCTACCTCAGACCTGGAGTGTCTCTGGAGTATGAGTTTGTGCATTTAAAAAAGCTCCACAGGTGGATGCTTGTATTTCTGTTAAGGTTTTATCCTTGTGTTATCCAATCCTATAATCTCACCCAGTTCTGTCATCCTTAGTCTGACTTCCTGTGGCATGGACCCCTGCCTGGACCACTTTTATTAGGCCAATTCCCAGCCTTGGGTGAGGCCTACTAATCAGGCAACTCTGCCACTGGTTTGCTGGAGAAATCACTAAACAAGGTTAACTGGGTTCACTACAAATCTAGCTTCCTTTTGAGTCCTTATTGCTTTCTGTTACCCCAAAGTGCTCTGTTACCCCTTTTCTTCTTACCCAATAGATCCCTTTCCCCTCTCAACTTTGTAGTTTGAGTTAATTGCAACTTGAGTTCTAGACTTTCTGCTTCCCTGGAGAGTCTTCATAGTGCTACATTTAGTAAATGCTCCAGTATTTACTGGTTAAATTTTATTAGACCACAACATGTTTAACACATGGCAACTGGCCACTTTGTAACTGTCTTGCAAACCTAATAGTAAGCAATTATCACCCTCTATGCATAGCCACTTGTAGCTAACCCTTCTTGAGCTCTTATGTGCCCAGTACTACTAAGTGCTTTTTCTAGGTAGGCTCATTTACTCTTCCCTGAGAGGTAGGAAGCATTTTGCACTCATTTTACTTGCGAGGAAACTGAGGCACTGAGATGTTAACTAATTTGCCGAAGGTCCTGGGACTAGTAGTGATGGAGCCAGAATGGAAAGCAGGCTGCCTGGTCCACAGTCTACATTCGCAACCACTGGGCTAGAATTAGTCTCCCATGTAGCCTGTGGGTTTATATGGGGAGGGAGAGTAATCTGATCAATATAAAAGGGAAGATAGTGGTTGATATTTTCTAAATTTGGTACTGAGTTACTTGATAAGTTTCAGATTACCTTAGTTACTATTATTGTAAAAAAAAATACATTAGGCAATTTGGAAAATAGAGAAGAATATACATAAGTCTATATACCTATTCCTCTCATAAGAAAGACTATTGACATTTGATGTTTATATATAAAGAAATCTTTTTCATAATGTAATTGCCAAATTCCAACAGAATGGGTTGTGGCAGTGTGTTGGCAGATTCAAACACCCAGGAATTGGCCACTGGGAGTGTACCAATCATTTCCTTGAAAACAGTTGGAAAATTTTTATCTGCACTCAAGTAAACGCATTTAAGTCCTTTACATGAACATAAAGAGGTAAGATTTGTAAGGTACATACCTTTTTTAGTTTGTTTTGGCATGCATTCTATCTAACCAGTTAAGTTTAGCTATACACTGGAAGTATACCTAGCCAGAAGTTTCCTGTGCCCTCAAATATTGGGGTGTAAAACAGTGGAACTCTGGCAAGTGGATAATTAAGTGGAATCAAATAAGATGTTGTAATATTCTATCTACCAGTTGCTTGTGTATTATTTCTGTCTTAAGAGTTCTTGTGTTTTTAAGACATGGATTTGGGGCCTTTCTGTAGGTGTTCCAGACATCAGAGCTTGGTAATAACTGAATCTAGAAATGGAACAGACACAAAGTGAGTAGGCAAACACAGAAACTGGATTTTGATTAAGTCATGGTTTAAATTTCTGCAAGTGAGAAAAGCAGTAGTTCTAAGGGCAGACCCTTTAAATGTAAATCCATAAAAGTTGAATAAAGCTGAGGGTGGGGAATGAAAAACAGGTTGAAAGGTAAAGCATATGGAGGAGTTAAAGTAGAATTATATATATATATATTTGTGTTTTAACAAGTGTTGA